CTCAAGGTCGAGAAGTCTTTCTCCAGGCAACAGATCCACACCACTATTACTTACATCCGTCAGAGCTGTTTTCATAATATCATCGATGGCAAAGTTGAAGATTAATGGTGAGATTGGTCAACCCTGTCTAACCCCACTGCTCAAATGGAATAAAGGAGAAAAGTGGTTGTACGTATTAGCTCTGCCTGAGGTGTGCGTACATAGGGCTTTTAGGATGTTAATAAACTTCTCAGGAACACCCTTCTTCAAAAAACAATCTCAGAGAACAGATATATTCAACGAATCGAAGGCTGCCTCCATATCAAGAAAGACTAATGGGATATCATCTCTACTAAATATTAGATCGAGTATACTATCGCCTCTAGTTGGGATACGAATCAACTGCGACCAACAGTGCATGTTAATGGTTGCCGAGAACTCATCATCACATGACTGACAACAACCGGTACTCAAGTCAATCCAAGGATAATCGAAAAGCCCAGTGATTACCTTAGCAAATGCATTTATGAATGCATTGATGATAAGATCATTCAAATTATTCGAACTGTCAGGAGCTCTGTATTTACATTCAAGGAGTAGGCTATAATTCAGCGTGTTGATTGATATCCAAACTGATTCTGCTAAACTATTCAGGACACTATCTTCAACTTTATTAGTTGGTAGGGTATCCAAAGCATATATAACACAACCACCTCCTCGCCTGGTTTCTCTGTCACAGGGATAGAGTCGATAGTTCTGAATATTTAATTCTGAATCAGATACTGCTTGAGAGCACCACGTTTCAGTGATAAGTATGTAAGAAGGCTTGGCTAGAAAAGCTAATGTTCTCAAGGATGAAATTTTGTTCAGAAGTGAACGTGCATTGATAAGTATGGAGTTTAAGAATATCGAGAGCTTCCCTATTGATGTTGTGCATTTTGGATTTGCACAGACTGTGGTTTATTATGTTTGACTGATCATATGGGCCACCGCTTGAACAAACTGTAGTGCTAGTGGGAACAGGGATTTCTGAAGGCCAAAAAATCATTGTTTCTATAAAGTGGATCAATTTGTTGAACTTGACAAGGCGGACAGTTAAGACAAGCACCTGCAAGTTGGAGTTAGGTTGATGGTAAGTAACATAGTAATTCACATTGCCCGATGGGAAAGTGTTGAGAAAACTCACGTCTTACAGATTTGTTATTTAAAACGTTTGAGGGTAACCGTGGGGCACGTTGGTTTGCTGTGGTCTGTCCAATATTAGGCCTGCTTACATAATGATTGCAATGGCGTCTTGTGAAACATTTGAGTCAAGTCTGCTCTTATATCCTCCCCTACGGGTAATGCATGGTGTCGGGAAGCATAGTCATATCTCTATTCGGTACGGCCATCGTAATATTTTTTTATTGGGTCTATAAACGGGAGGTTCTGTACACACATTCTTCTTACGTGGCATAGACTCTTTAATCTTGACAGTATTTTTAAGAGCTGTCACATCAGAACTGAGAATCTGCTTATGGGCTTCTAATGGTAAACCGGAAATTATCAGATTAGTGTCGTCATTAGATGTGCATTGGTTATCAGATGTCACCACAGGCATAATAGGCAAATTAGCACTCTTCGTTGGTAAATCAGAGTACTAGAGAACATGAGATAGGGTAGCTGCATCAGTGAATCTAGCAGCTGATGCATCGTGATTTGTTATGATCTCAACATCTTCATTTTTGTTCAAGGTACGTTTTTGCGTGAATCTTTGATTGGTGGTCTTATGTGTGACTATAGTGGCTTTTCTAAACTTCGTAAGCTCGCAGAGTAGCTGCTCGGATTCTTTTAACTGTTCAGCTAATATATGAGAAAGGAATCTTAACAAGACCGGGCACGAGAATTTGAGGTGATACTCATTAATAAATTAGAGACAGAGTCATACATCAGCAGGTTTAATGTAAGACCACTCCCAACATTATCAGATACAAAAAGGAGTAGCAGAGCATGAGGAGTAGGTGATAACAGATTTGCTATTATCTGAAGTAATAGTGCTTTCCCAGGCTCGATTTTCGACTGTCGACCCATATCGCTTTAAGCATAAATTCCAAAGCCATTTATGAGTTATAAACCAGGATTCAACGATATTCAAACAATATACATATAACATACCATGATATCGTAACGCAAACTTCAAACGTACAGCAATGGTCATATATCGCCGAAATTGTCAAGGAAAACCATATGGCAAATGTTAACTTTGGATATTAAAAAGAAAGCGGAGAAGATAAATGTCAAAGAACAGACTGCATCGTGAATGGTAATAAAACACCAAAAGGATGAAAATTTACTGTACACAGGGTGAAAGTGTTGTCCAGGATAGTGTTCTGTGGCGACCGATGTTGATCGACGTATTCTCCATCATTAGTAAGAACTAAGTTAACTAATCAAGTTATTATAAATCTAATTATCAACAAATATCTGTTTGATTGAACCTTGTACTGTTGAAGAGGCGTTAGATGTAACGTGGTTGTTATCCAACTTAAAACACCATATCCACATGTACGAAGTTACCAATTGATGATTCATGATAACCAGAACTAAGGAGGTTAGTCTCTCATGAGTGCTAACTACTTAGCCAATTTCATGATTTGTAAATGCTATGTGGAAATAGAGTCGTATTAAACGGAGAAAAATGACATGAATACCTCATGTTTTTCATTTCAAAATAGAAGTTTTGAGAAGTGAGGTCCCTCTCTGGTACTTGATGCAACATCTATAATTTTCGAGACGTCAGATCACATCCATTACCTTGGTACATTGAGTGAGTGCAAACACATCACTGGTCTATGCTCAATTGCCTTTGCACGGTCAAATATCACGTGAGTATTTTTAAGCAAAACGCTCTACTGGAGAATGTCGATCGTACCGCACGTTATTCTATCGGCTAACTTTTGTTATATGCGATTCTCTTACGAATAGGCAACACTAAACGTTTCCCAATGAAAACATTCCATAAGTAGTTGTTATGATAAGCAAAATTATTCGAATTATTAAACTGATTAGAAATTCTCAAAAACCTGCAATGTAAGATAGACAGAACGAAATGAGCACAAACAAACGTGTTGTATTTGGAATTCAAAGTTGTGGCCCATCAAGTACAACGAAATCATTAATTCATAAAATTATAAAGACCATCACAGCCTAAATAGGCGTCCAAAGTTCTTTGATGTGTTGTAGTTCTACTTAGGTTTATCGTGCACTTGTTCTGCTACGTTTTGGATGTAGAATCTGTATGATGTAGGATGAACTGATCAGTATTAAAATTAACAACAAAAACATGGAACGGACTCACTTGGAAGCGTATTTGAATAATATCCTAATGTGCCTGCCTTAATCATTGATATCTACAAGTCGAAGCGTAGAATCTCCAACAATGTCATGTAATATTGGATCTTCACATACTAAACTAATGAATAATATGTAATTACATGAAAAATATTTTTCAAATTACCAAGAAGATCTGTCAAAATTTACTTAATAGTGAGAGTAAACAATATTTGACATAAAATCATCTGACCTGTTTTTATATTTAAATTTACGTTTCCCAAATTAAGAGCTGCCAAAAGACCTGATACGATGAAGAGTGAAGCGAGGAAGCTCATATTCATCATCATCATCATCAACAACAACAACAACATCATCATCATCATTATCATCATAATCATCTTCTTCTTCTTCTTCGTCTTCATCCAAACGATCATCATCCAAATCATCATCATCATCATGCTCTTCACACATATCATCTACATTTTTTTCATTATAATCATAAACATCAACATCATCATCATCAACATCAACATCATCAAAATCTCAATCATCATCGTCAGGATCTTCATACAAAATCATCTTCATCATATTCATTATCATGATCTTCTTCGCCATAATCATCATCTAAATAATATTAATCTTCCAAATCATCATCATCATATTCATTTTCTTTTAAAATATCAGCATCCGATTTACGAACATGATCCACATCATCACGCAAATCATCATCATCTTCATCCAAGTCATCATTATCATCAACGTCATTAACATCGTAATAATTTTCATCCAAATCATCATCATTCAATTCATCATCATTATCAAAATCACCTTCATTCAAATTATCATTATCCAATTCTTCATCATCCTCATCGTCCTCATCCTCATCATCATCAACATTCTTGCGTAATAATAATAATCATCATCATCATCATCCTCATCATAAAGCAAATCATCCTTATCTTCATAGTCATCATAATCCATAACATCATACACATCATCATCATCATTCAAAATATCATCGTTATATTATTCATACTCATCACCATTCTAATCTGAATTAGAGACGTCATCGTCATCATCATCATCATCTTAATCATCATCTTCGTCATCATCGTCATCATAATTATTTTCCTCCAAATGATCATCATTCCAATCATCACCATCATCCTGCTCTTCATACAAATCATCTTGATCATTATCATCATGTTCATTATCATCATCTTCTACATCATCATCGTCACCCAAATAATGTTATTCTTCCAAATCATCATCTTCAAAATAAACATCTATAAAATATCATCATCCAATTTAAGAACATGATCCACATCATCATGCAATTCATCATCATCATCATCGTCGTCATTATCATGGTAATTATTTTCATCCAAATCATCATCATTCAAACCACCATCATCATGCAAAACATTATTATCCAAATCTGAATTATCATCATCATCATCATCGCCATAATCGTCATCGTCAGCACCATTATCCATTTATATTCATCTTCCAATTCTTCATAAACATCATCCTCATCATCTCCATCATCATCAACATTCTTGCGAAATAATCATCATCATCATCATCATCATAAAGCAAATCATCCTTATCTTCATAGTCATCATAATCCATAACATCATACCCATCATCATCATTCAAAATATCATCGTTATATTAATCATTCTCATCAACTTTCTAATCTGAATTAGAGTCGTCGTTATTGTCATCATCATCATCATCATCATCATCATCATCATCATCATCATCATCATCATCATCATCATCATCATCATCATCATCATCATTATCATCATCATCATCATCATCATCATCATCATCATCCAAATCATCATCATCATCATCATCATCATCCAAATCATCATCATCATCATCATCATCCAAATCATCATCATCATCATCATTATCATCATCATCATCATCATCATCATCATCATCATCATCATCTTCATCGACATCATCATTACCATCAAAATCTCATTAAGATCGTCATCAACATCTTCGACATGATCTTCATACAAATCGTCTTCATCATTTTCATCTTGTTCATTATCATGATCTTCTTCATCATCATCATCATCAACATTCTTGCAAAATAATCATCATCATCATCATCAAAAAGCAAATCATCCTTATCTTCATAGTCATCATAATCCATTTTCATCATTCAAAATATCATCCTTATATCAATCATTCTCATCAACATTCTAATCTGAATTAGAGCCGTCGTGATTGTAATCATCATGATCATCATCATCATCATCAACATCATCATCAACATCATCATCATCATCATCATCAACATGATCATCATCATCATCATCATCTTCATCAACATCATCATCATCATCATCATCATCATCAGCATCATCAAAATCTCATTAAGATCGTCATCACCATCATCGACATGATCTTCATAAAAATCATCTTCATCATTTTCATCTTGTTCATTATCATGATCTTCTTCATCATCGTCATCATCCAAATAATATTCTTCTTCCAATTCATCATCATCTTCGTCATCGTCGTCATCATATTTATCTTCTTCTAAATGGTCATTATCCAAATCATCATCATCATTATCATCATGCTTTTAATACAAATCATCTTCATCATCATCCTTATCAAAATCTCAATCATCATCGTCATGATCTTCATTCAAATCGTCTTCATCATCTTCATCATGTTCATTATCATGATCTTCATCATCATCATCATCGTCATCATCATCCAAATAATGTTCTTCTGCAAAATCATCATCATCATTATCAATTTCTTTAAAAATATCATCATTCAATTTACGAACACGATCCTCATCATCATGTAAATCATCATCATCGTCATCCAAGTCATCATCATCATCGTCATTTTCATCGTAATAATTTTCATCCAAATCATCATCATTCAAATCATCATCACCATAATCATCTTCATTCAAAATATCTTCATCCAAATATTTATTATCATCCTCATCATCGTTATCTTCATCATCAAATTAATCTACTTCTTCCAAATCATCATCGTTTTCACCATCATGATTATCTTACTCCAAACTATCGTCATCCAAGTCATCATATTCGTCAACATCGTCATCTTCAGCATCATCATACAATTATTTTTATCTTCCAAAAATTCATCATCCTCATCATCATCATTCTTGCGAAGTTATCATCATTATAATATATATCATAAAGTAGATCATCTTAATCTTCATAATCATTATAATCCATAACATCATACCCATCATCATCATTCAAAATATCATCGTTATATTATTCATACTCATCACCATTCTGATCTGAATTAGAGTCGTCGTGATCGTCATCATCATCATCATCAACTTCGTCATTGTCGTCATCATAATTATCTTCCTCTATAAAGAAGTTTCAAAACAGACAAACATATTTTCATTTAAGGATTTCGAAAACTAAAGTCAACCACTTACCAGTCAGTGATAAACTAGTTGAAAACTCTCGATTCTTCAGGATATCAGTTACGGTAATATAAAGACCAGTTCAGTCAGTCATTCAGATACAACATAAGGCCACATACATATATGTATCGGCCCAAGTTGGCATACATCATTAGTATAGCAAGATGAACACCGATTTATATAACCATTGTAGCAGCAGCCTCAGCAGCATTAGGTCTCGAAATTTAGACATGGGTTTATCTACCCTATCCCGTAAAAAACTAATTCTCTAAAAAATCTCTGGAGCGCTATACATGATAAGCATGATTTTTTTATATCTAAAGTATCTAAACGTAGAACTGAACATCTGGACATTTATAATGTAGAATATCCAGTAGTACTTCAAACAATGAATTACATTGCAACCTGAAATCTCTATCACAATATTACTACTCACATGTAATGAGTAATAAGAGAGAAGTAGTATAAAATATTATTATGTATAAGTTGAATTCATGAGTCAATTAAAGCTGGACAACAATGGAAAAACTAAAGGCATTTGACGGCCGTTTCGTTCTAATATGCGACTCCTCAGTAGTTAATATATATATATAATACATTACACATATATATTACTTACTTGTTTAATAATTCAATGATTATACGTTCCACATAAAGGTCTTTTGTGTTGGAACATGTGAATTGTAGGAACCCCTACATTTTCTATGAAAATATATGAATTGATTTCAAAGAAATATAGTCAACATTGAAACGCTTTCAAAATATGTTTGTCATGTTTTTGAGTGTGTGTGTCTAGGTCTGTGTCTGTGTTCGTTGCACAGGCATATTTGTGTTTTAATTCTATTGTTTCTCCCTTTTTCTTTTCTCTTTTCTTGTTTTCTCTTTTCTACTGCTTAAAAAACGCTGAATAGTTAAGCATGTGATAACATTCAACAAAAGTGATGATTATGACTGTCAACGTTGATGATGATGATGAAGAATAAGGTGATAGTGAAGATGGTGATGATAATAACAATGTTAGCGAAAGATATAATTCAAACAGGGCACAAAATTGAAATTAATGCAGCTTTTAAAACGTTGTATAGAAATTGTCAAGGACGAATTCTTAGGTTTATAGAAGCCTTGGCTATTCGTAAATTTAAGCCCCCTTTATGTATACAAAAACAAGTTGTTGTAACCTTGAATTTACCTCGGCAATCCTTGAGTCATTCTATGGCCTAGGATAATGCGACAATTTCTTATCCTTTCTCTCCCCTTTGTTATTTTTTGTTTGTTTGTTTGTACTTTAACTTTCATGTAATTGACCTTTATTAATTTTCATATAAAATGCCCTGACAAGTATATGTGTGACCAGATTGTTCGAAATGTATAGCGCAAATAAAATCACATTTTTAGATCAACTCCGTCTTCTCATTGTTCTATCGAAACAATGTTACTGCCAAAGCTCTTATCATCAAATAACAGTTGCATAATAATTATGGGATAATGATAGTGATTGTAATGATTACATAATGCAATTGATTCATATACCATAGCTACAATGAGGATATTTTACGAATAAATATGAATAAAATGAATGTGGTGATAATAGTGAGTTTAAATATTAGAAAACATGAAAAATTTATTTATTCATCGCATAGCTACATACCTACATAGATGTCAACATTCATAGATACATACTTAAAAGAACATATCAATTTAACTATTGTTGTTTCCACATATATCTGTTTCCATTATTAAAGATTGTGACTTTGATATTATTCGATAGTTATTTTGAGTTAAATATGTTCTTCAATTGTCCTGCGCCTTCCTTACCAGTACTATTCAATTTTGGTTCATTTTCCTCATGTTTGTCTCCATTTTTTGGCGTAATATGTTCTTTGATCTCCCTTTTTTCCTTAAGCTTTGAGGATTTCATGTGAACCACACAGTGAATTGCTCAATCAATTGCATAAGACTTTATTGTTCTATCGTTTACAAACCAATGAATCGCTGTTATTGGTGTTTACTTTCCGATCTTCTAAAACCTTCTACCTTCAGTCATCTGACTTTCGATTGATGATACAGACTACTTATATCTGTTGACATCAGTAGAATACTCATCAAAATTTATTTTACATTGCTCTATGAAGATTATATAGAGAAATACAAAAGAGCCTTTTTATAATCTAATTTCAAAATGTATTCACTGATAGTCATATGCATAGTATACATCATTTCAGTAGTGTATTACGTGAAAGATAAAAAATAAATCAAAAGCAGAGAATAAAATGTTTCTAAAACGAGATGTTCACATATTGATGTTGAATACTTTTCTTATTATGTAAAACTCGTTAGTGATAGAAATTGAAGAAAATTTTCTTTTTAATTCGATTGATTCTCTAATAAAGTTGAGTGTGTTTATTTAATAAAGATTTTCGTTTTCCTTTTCTTTTCTTTAGTCTGCGTTCGTTTTCTATTCATGTTTCAATGTTTGTTGATCAGATTTATTTGGAATTACTTGTTTTCTTCTTTTTCTTTTTCATTCAAAATCTTTGTTATAACTTAATAGAATTTGTTAGGTTGATTGTATGATCAAAAAATGAATACCGTTTCTATAATGAAATAGGAGATCGAACCGTTCACTAGTTTACAGAAACTAATTGTTAGGTATAATCTATTTAGGTAACAGATAGAGTAGAACAATAAGTGGATTGATGAAGTATATTAAAACATATAAAAAAACAATCATTACTATGGAATATATTAAGTTCAAGTTGATGTAAATGATTGATTTACTGGAAACAATTCCATTTGTTTATGTTCACAATAACGACATTCATCTGAATAGAGGATGATTTGCCAAGTTTTCTCGCATTTGTTATCATCTTTATTTGATGGTAGAACATTGTATATTCGAGTATACTTTTCATTAGCCTTAATTGAGGCTTTGCTATACAGATATCTGCTAACGAAAATAGTCACTTCAAATGAAACATACAAGATGTTGCTCAGTAAATTCATTGGTAAAACATGACAAAAAAAACATGACAAAAAATACTGTTCTACATGACAAAGTGAATAAAATTCCATTGATTATGATTAACTAGTTCTTACTAGTTGCTTATATATACTAATACGGTTCGTCATGTTCATCATTCAGCTAAAGCAGAATAAAGTACTTGTTAAAAAAGGGTAAAATAGCGCTGTTAGTGACATCTGATCATCATAGTTTTGTAAAATTCTATGGAACATGTTAAGATTCTCTAACCTTTTAGTTGTCATTTTCATTTTTCAGGATTATAAACTTTTCCTCGTTAGTAACTTTCAGCAAAAATAAAAAAAACATTAGGAACTTTTACTGACTGATTACTTGGATAAAAACCAGTGTCACAAAATTAGATATTCCATTCTCATTTCAATTTAATTTGACAAGTGGTTTGTAATCTGAGTACATTCAAATAATAGTCCACCATGGTTACTTTAAAATGGTTAGAAGCAATCATTTAATCTATATTTTGTGTAAGCTAATACTTATCAATATAATCATCTGAACTTTAAAAAAAACTAAA